CCCACCCCCAGGTGTCCCCAGGTGAGTCCCACCCCCAGGTGTCTCCCCCCAGGTGTCCCCAGGTGTCCCCAGGTGTGTCCCCAGGTGTCCCCAGGTGAGTCCCACCTGCCCCTGAGGGCGTTGAAGAGGCGGATGCCGTCGGCGGGGCCGCAGATCTGGATCACGTCCTCGCGCGTCAGCCTCAGCAGGTCGGCTCCTGCCGGCGCCAAAACCGCCCAAATTCACCCAAAATCACCAAAATCACCCAAACTCACCCCAAATTCACCCCAAAATCGCCCAAATTCACCCAAAATCGCCCAAATTCACCCAAAATCGCCCAAATTCACCCCAAATCACCAAAATCACCCAAACTCACCCCAAATTCACCCCAAAACCGCCCAAATTCACCCAAAATCACCAAAATTCACCCCAAAACCGCCCAAATTCACCCCAAAACCACCCAAATTCACCCAAATCACCCAAACTCACCCCAAAACCACCCAAATTCACCCCAAAACCGCCCAAAATCACCCAAATTCACCAAAATCACCCAAATCACCCAAATTCACCCCAAAATCACCCAAATTCACCCCAAATCACCGAAATCACCCAAATTCACCCCAAAATCACCCAAATTCACCCAAAATCACCAAAATCGCCAAATTCACCCAAATTCACTCCAAAATCACCCAAATTCACCCAAAATCACCAAAATCACCCAAATTAATCCCAGATTCATCCCAAATTCACCCAGATTCATCCCAATTTCATCCCAAACTCACCCAAATTCACCCAGATTCACCCCAAATTAATTCCAAATTCACCCAAATTCACCCAAATTCACCCAAATTCACGCCAATTCTCCCGTTTGCCCCAAAATGGAATTGTTCTCCTGCTTTTCCTCCGACCAGCCTTTTCCAGCTCTGTTTTCCCTCCAATTACCATTTCTGGCTTTGTTTTCCCCAAACCTGCGTTTTTTCAACTTCATTTTTCCTAAAATCAGCATTGTCCACTTCGCTTTTCACAAAATCCCTATTTTCCAGCTCATTTTCCCCCACAACCATCACTTTTTTTACCCTCAAATCAACATTTTTTCAGCTTCCTTTTCCTCCAAATCAGCATTTTCCAGCCAAATTCCCCCAAAATCCACATTTTCCACCCGTTTTCCCCCACATCAGCATTTTCCAGCCAAATTCCCCCAAAATCCACATTTTCCACCCGTTTTCCCCCACATCAGCATTTTTCAGCGTGGTTAACCCAAACTCGGCATTTCCCAGCTTCGTTTCCCCCCAGAGCAGCAATTTTTTGCTTTATTTTTTCCCCAATTTGGCGTTTTTCAGCTCATTCTTCCCCAAAATCGCCGTTTTCCAACTTTGCTTAACCCAAAATCAGCATTTTTTCACCCGTGTTTTCCACAAAATGAGGTTTTCACCTTCATTTTGCCGTAATTGCCATTTTCCAGATTCATTTTCCTTAAAATCGGCATTTTCGAACCAATTGTTGCCTGAATTCAGGATTTTTTGCCTCTATTTTCCCCCAGATTTTAATTCTAAAATGTATTTTCTTGCCATTTTCGGCTTTTTCCCCAAATCAGCTTTTTCTCCCCAGATTCCCATTTTCCAGCTCCGTTTTCCCCAAATCAGCTCCTCCTGTGTCACCTGTGCCAGGTGAGCTGGGGGAGGTGGAGCCAGGTGAGAAGAGCGGGACTTGGCCAGGGGAGGGAGGGGAGGTCACCTGGCCCAGGTGAGGGGAGGTGACCCGGCCCAGGTGAGGAGCTGTGACCTGGCCCAGGTGAGGTGACCGGCCCAGGTGAGGTGACCCAGCCCAGGTGAGGTGACCGGCCCAGGTGAGGTGACCGGCCCAGGTGAGGAGAGGTGACCCGGCCCAGGTGAGGAGCTGTGACCCAGCCCAGGTGAGGAGAGGTGACCTGGCCCAGGTGAGGAGAGGTGACCGGCCCAGGTGAGGAGCTGTGACCCGGCCCAGGTGAGGAGCTGTGACCCGGCCCAGGTGAGGTGACCCAGCCCAGGTGAGGAGAGGTGACCTGGCCCAGGTGAGGAGCTGTGACCTGGCCCAGGTGAGATGACCCGGCCCAGGTGAGATGACCCGGCCCAGGTGAGGTGACCGGCCCAGGTGAGGAGAGGTGACCCAGCCCAGGTGAGGAGTTGTGACCCAGCCCAGGTGA